GTATACACACACTGCAGTATTGTCAACCAAATGTTAAAATTTTGTTGGTTCTGTGTTAATATCTTTTTGTAATATGTGTAGACAGGTTACTTTTCAACGTCAAATGTTTACTATATAAAAGACTTTCATGATAATTTAGTACAATAAGTCCTGCCAACCGACCTTACCTTCAGTTCTTACTACCTACATTGAACTCTAACTATAGTGTTCTGCCGAATCCTGCTCCACTACTCACAAAACTTATTCCTTTTACTCTTTAAGAGTTTAACATCTTATAAACTAATCTGTTCATTAGGACGCATGCACACATATAGTTTGTTCATAAATCTGTATGTGGAGATCTATTGGAAGCACTCACTAGGAAAGTTAGGAAAATGTAATGTGAGGTACGAACGTGTCTGGAATCAAGCAATATATTTGCTGTAGCCATAACAATCAGAGCCTAACATCATAAAAGGAGGGAGGGTGGTGCATGCTGATCAGTAGATATGGTGGTGGACACTAAGGTGAATCGCCCCATTCTGCAGGAACAGCAATATGCAATTTGGCGGCTCGAGATTTCTATGAGGGCCTGAATCTTTATCTTGAAAAAGATAATAATGATCACCTGGACAGATCATGCTTCTACCTTTAAACATATACCATTCGGTCAGCCTATTGATGAGATGCGACCACGTGGGTTCTGCACAGATTTATGGGGCATCTTATAAATTGACATGCTTTCCTTCGTCGTATCTTCGAATATCCCTTAACAATATCTCATCTCATTCATTTTCTAATAACGTCTTCACTTGCTCATTATATTTCACTAAACCTAACATCTTATAGCTCTCTATGAATTTGATTCGACTTATTTTATTCCTATTCTCTATAGGGTACGGTTGTGCACCAAATACACAAAAAGGTATGAAATTAAAACAACCGGCTTGTGGATAATTGCATTAAAACCAAAAGTGGACATCATGATAGGAAGACGTATATGAGTAGGATTATATATTGCAAATGAACTTTGTCAGCCTAGGGATTATAGTCTCCCACTGTATTTCCTTTAAGAATGCATCTCTTAATGATACATTGCACTTACCTATTTCATTGCACTTTAATGACTCACCTTAGCACCTTTACTTTTCTAAAAGAGCTTACTATCCCCTGTAAACGTTGTACTTACCGCAATATTGGTTGGCTATCGTATGTCTACAACTGCGAGTTGAAAACGAAACGAAGTCGATTTCCCTGCGCAACCTGGAGGACTACTGTTTAATTCAATAATGATACGACATGGGTCAGACAAAGAGTGTATTTATATATATATCAAATATTTAGCTGTTCAAACATTAACTTGTAGGCAATCTACTATTTGACATTATATCATACTTGATCGTGCCTGTAAAAATGGCATGCATTTTCATGTAAATTTATGTTTATATGAAAATATAAATGATTATTATTACTTGAAAGGACTCTTGAATGGACCACCAACTGCGAGGAATACTCGTGTATAAGTCACATAGAATACTGTCTCTTCCCATACCTAAATGCTTATCGTCTAATTGCAGTGTTGTTTTCGACAATTCGTGTTGATGGTCAGTATCTTGTTTCTGAGGATGAGCCAGTTTTATATGGTTCGTGCCATCTATTTGCGTGAGGGAAAAAAGGCAGGACAAGGCATCTGGCAGATTTTTGTTCACTCCCGATACATTGCGAATATCCGATGTAAACTGTGAAACGTAGTCCAGTTGTCCTGATTCTCTAGGTGAATAGTTATCTGAATTTGAATTCAGTGAGTACGTCAGAGGTTTGTGGCCAGTGAAAATTATACATTCACGACCCTCCACTAAATGTCAAAAACGACGTATAGCATAGTGCATTGCCGGAAGTTCTCTGCCGAATGTGCTGTACTTCGTTTCTGCTAGTTGAAGGCTCCTCGGGAAAAAGGCGAGTGGTCGTCACTCTCTGTTAACTAGTTGTTGCAGAACTGCACCGATTGCAGTGTCTGATGCATCAACCGAGATGCTTAACGGTGTCGTTGGATCCTGATACATAAGAAGTGTGGCGTCTGCGATGGCTTTTTAACCTGAGTGAAATTACTTTAATAGTAATAATAATTTATAGTTCGTATAAACGGGTAAGTTTACAAGAAATGCGTGCCATTTTTACAGGCACGATCAGTAATGTTATAAATTACAATACTGAAGTATCATAAATTAAAACTTTTGAGCAGACGCGTCAAGTTCGGTGGACTTTTCATTCCCTCGAAGAGGCTCTGGTAGGGGCTAAATCAGAGAAGCACAGTTGGGAATAGACCGTCAATAATAACTTACCAAGCCTTTGAAAGTGGGGAGACTTTTCACTTTCCGTGGCTCTGGAAAGTTCAGTATCGCCCCAACCTTACTAGCAGGTGGACGAATACCCTTGCAGTCAATGGTGTGGACCAGAAAGTCGAGCGGTTCAACGCCTATCTGACACTTTTGAATATTACTGGTAATACCATGTAGGCGTAACTTTTCGAATGCCAAGTCCAAGTGTCTAAGCTGAGTTACTTTGTCTGGATTGGCGATGAGGCAGTCGTCTAAGTATGCGTATTCAAAGTCGAGACCGCGAAAGACTCCGTCAATGAAGCGTTGGAATGTTTGTGCCGCATTCTGGAAACCGAATGGCATACGTAGAAATTCAAAATGTCTGAAAGGTGTAATGATAGTCATTTTCGGAATATCTTCTGTTGCCATGGGGATTTGGTTATATGCCTTAACCGAGTCTATTTTCGAGAAAGTAGTTTCATCAGATAATGTTGCCGTCAGGTCGTGTATGTGAGGAAATGGATAGCAATCAGGGGTTGTTTTGGTGCTCATTCGCCGGTAATTGCCAGTGGGTCACTAATTATTGCTATCTTTTTTCAGTGCCATATGCAGTGGGGATGCCCATGGGCTATTTGATGGCCGAATGATGTCAAGGGTAAGCATATGGTCGAACTAATTTCTAGAGAGTCTCAGTTTGTCAGGAGCAAGTCGTCGTGCTTTAGATGTCACGGGTTGTCCTGAGGTTATAATGTGATGCATAACATTACTGGTTATGCACGGTGAGTCGTTAGATGGGCAATTAAGTTCTGGGTACTTATCAACAATCGGTTGGAAACTTGGATCAAGGATCGCCTTCTTCTTAACGAATGACAAGCTAAGGCCTACGTAGGTGACGCCTTTAATAGATAGTCTAGTCTTATCGTCCATCAGTCTTTCTACGAGGTAATCATGATGGTTTAGTAGGTATGTGCCAATGATGGGCATTGTGACGTCAGTGAGAAGGAAAATCCACTGAATTTGTTTGCGTAAATCAACTTTCAGATAGATGTATTTCCTACCAAAGGCTGCAGCTGGTTTTCTACTCATAGCCTGTAAGTTGAACGCAGGTTCCTTCTGTCGATCTGCCGCTGTAGCAGGGAGAACGCTGACTTCGGCGCCTGTGTCGACTAAGTACCGGGTCTGATTGACTACATCACGAATGTATAGTGGGTGACTATTGCCACCTGCGACGGTTGCCGCTAACACTTGCCGGCGAGATAGTTTCCCGTAGTCTTCGAGACATTGCGAAAATTACAAGGTTTTCGGCAACATTTCGTCTCCTGGCCATAGGTATTGTGACACCAACACCAGTCAGGGTTTTTAAGTGAACGTGGCTCCCATTTAGACCGACCATGTGGGTTTCGCCGTTGAGAGGACTTCGGACGGCGACAGGAGAAATTACGGGTATTATTTGACCTAAGTAGCTGTCGGATGGAGTTGCATAACTCTATCACTGCTGTGTCCCCACCTGAAGTCTGTTCAGTAATTGAGCACATTTCAGTAACTGGCCATTGTGTTGTTTCTAGAATTTAATGGCTGAGGTGGCTAAGTGGTCAATAATAACACCTTGAATTGTCACCGGCACAGCCCGTACTGACTGTGGCAGTTTGGACGAGAACATTTCTCTGAAAAGTCTTTCATCGAAATGACGTTGGCTGATTACTTCCCGCATTCCCGTTGGTGTGTTCACAGCTGACTGATCACCCAACACCACGTTGCGAAAAATTTTGATCTAGACGCTACCGATCAGTGAGGTTGTTTCTCTTTGGGAAGGTTGCTTCAAGCAGATCACACAAGTTACTTATTTCTGGGCTCAACATCTCCGCAATTACGCATTTGCTAAGTTCCCGTGGTACAGCGTGGACAACTTCAAGCAGCTGTGAACGTGGATCAGTTAACCCATGTTAGCTGAAATCAGACTTAGCTATCTGAAACCATGATTCTGCATTATCTGGCCAAAATGACACGAGTTTTGGCGGTTGATCGAATATGAATGACCTTAGGAGTATAATCACTCGTGGAAAAATATGTATGGTTTAAAATAGTACAAGAACAAATACAAAATGGAATGAACTTGCCGGATTTGTCTGTGTATTTACCAAAGATGAAGTTCGCGGTAGGGCTCACCAGTTCAGAGGCTAATGGTGCTGACGTTCACGGATAGTACGAAGTATACTAACTCAAGATCTAATACCCACAACTTCTGTAGTATTCGTTCCGCGTAGACTAAAGGCAAAGCAAAACACCAGAAGTGATCGTCCAAATTACGAGTTGTATTTCGGGACCGAATCGGAGTGCGAGATGATTACTTAACTAGCTAGGGATCGTGCACGAACGTAACACGACAGCGTGCCAAATAGCCTGGGTACTTGACTGTAAACCTTTAGATAAATAAACTGAATAAAACAGTGAGGGTCAGCATCCACTGTTCACTGATGAATGCTGTGGCCAATAATTCTGGGGAATTATTGCTACAGTCCTTTCCGCAGTTTCTACCGACGCAGCCAGAATTTGGTCGTTCTCCTCATCTGAGCCTTCTTTTGAATATTTAGTCGCACCAGGTTATTCTGCCATTAGGTTATTCAAGGGGCAATTAAGCTCCAGGTACTTGTCACCAGTGTGCTGAATATTTGAATCAACTACTATTTTCTTCTCAACCGGTGGCAAGCTTTCACCTACTTAGGTGGTACAGTTTGTCAATCCCAATTGTGGGATATCTACTAGCGGATCATAATAGCTAACTACATCCCCATAAATGAAAGCAGAAGTTAAAAATTTGTCTGTGACTAGGAAATTAAGCAAGTTCCCATGAAGCGGCATATTTAGAGTGAGTGTTACTGTAAACTAATTTTTCGTGTAGTTGCTCAGACATTATTTTTAACTGGGTTTATCCGTTATTTTCTATCCCGTTTGAGATTATTCAGCTCACATATGTACATGGCTAAGTTAATAAACAGTTACTGTTACCAGCAAATGAAAGTGACGGGTGTTAGAAAGCTGACACAACATAGAATACATTTGGAATATTTTTGCCGCTTGCGGAAACCATTTTTCTACATTACCAGTTCAAAATGAGAGTAACTGAATTGGTTATGCAGACGTCAGCCCCATTCGTATTACTTTTGGAGCCTGATCAGATAATAATGTCTTCAAATTTTAGGAAGTCAAAATCTTTCAAGTTTAACCAGCTTAGAAATAGTTTTGGTATTTATTCAACGTCTTAGCTCACACTTTTTAAGCATAGTTTGATGCGGAAGGAACTGAATTATCAGCGTAGGACTTTGCAAAGGGTACTATTTCTAGTTGCCACACTTCATTGAAGCATATGAAGTAGACCAAAAAAGTTCACTATACCTACAATAAACATAAGTGTACTAAAAATAGTTATAGGCGGATATAACGAGTCTGAAAGATGGCACAACTGAGGGAATTCTATTGAGAACAATTTTAAGCCGTTTTATCAGCTTTTACTAACCACTGATTCTTAGCATCTTGACTCCAGACAGGCAGTGGAAACCTCCTAAGGTGAAGTCACCCTTTTGTTGGAAATAAATGCAATGTAACCTTAGAAACTCTGCAGATACATTGGCTACCACTAGCAGTTTCAGTACTGAGTGAATAAACTTCCTACCATATTGTCCGAGTTATTGAGTTTGATTATGTGTAATGAATAAGCCAAACAATGCGTCTCACCTAATCTGCTTATAATTAGCAAATAGTTTGTACTTTGTTGTGCTTGAAGCATTAACAAGAACATTAATTCTTCGATGATTCTGAAGAATGATACAGCTGAAATCTGGATTTTCACATGATAAATAGTCAGTATTATAGTTATCTTCATATTTTGAAAATAAATATCCAATTTGCTAACACCATACATCCTGCTGCTAATGATATGGTAGTAGCTTGGTTGAATTTCCCCAGCTAATGTTCTTGGTTTCTTATCACATTTCGGTGTACTTTTGAATAGATAATAAAGTGGTGCAATATTTCAGAAATTATTCATACATGTCTTCAGTATTGATTTCCGTTGACATTGAATTCATAAGTGCATAATTTTAAAGTATTTTAACGACAATGAATATAGTATAGATTTTACATACATAATTATTCTTCAGCTTTCAGCCAGCGAGTCCCGAGTTTGAGTCCCACTCCATCTACTTCAACCTGAGGAACTGGGTAGTATCGGCATCATTTCCGTCCCGTATTGTGGTATAATATAATTAATATTGAGGTTACTTGAAAATTGTTAAATAAGAAGGGCCCTACCGATTAAGGTGTCTTGGGCACGTGTTAGTTATGTCAAACCATCTCCTTATTGAGAGATGTTAAGCCAATACAGGGCTAAGCTGAGAAAGTTTTAGGAGTAGTCAAACCGACATATGTTGTTGGTTTGAGTTATGTAGGCTGCTCAGCTGGTGTCTTTGTGACGCTAATACCAACGGTTAGATGGCTCAAAATTGTTCTCATTGGCGCAGATGCATTCACTCTTTGTGAACTCATAGATCCATCAAATTCTCACTAATCTTCATGTAATTATTCTTTCCACAACACATCTTTCTTCCATTATGGTTCTTTTAAATTTCATCTCTCTACTTCTGTGTGCTATATAATATAGCAACTTGAACTGCTGGACTTCCGCGCAGTCCTACGTTAAAAACGCTCTCTCAGTAGTATCATCAGCCTTCACATAATAAGTGTGACTCATGGTCTGGTGCATGAAAGGTATATTCCGCTTAACCGACTAACTTACTGACTAATATGGCTTAGGACTAGTTAAACTGATGAAACGTGTGATATGTCAAATAACCTTAAGCATGCTTATTTTGTATATGTAATGATGAAAATGTTCTCTTTCCGCAATACATTTATTAAACCCAGTTTGTTTCGCCCTGTCTCGTTTTAGAAACAAAAGTTGTCCTCAATTGAATCAAAAACTGTCCAATGAATACAAACTTCCCTCCTTCTCGTCTTCAGGTGTCAAGTTTATCCTGTAAAAATAAGTGTGGTTTTTATGGAAATCCTTCGTGGGATGGATATTGTTCCGTTTGCTATCGTAACGCACATCAAAAGCAAACAACACTCCGTCAAACGTCTACAGCTACAACAAATTTGTCACAGAGCTCTGATACAGAAGTTAAGCGCAAACAAAGCACTGGAAAAAACTCGACCATCAAAAATATTTTCAAGGTTCCCCGAGGTAAGGGTCAATCTTTTCAAATGTTTCAGATGATAGTCGTGATCCAAATCCAGTAAATCCAGAAGAATGTTTGCAAGCTGAACAAGAGTTTAAGGCCTTTCTGAACACTCTTCGAGCTTCTATAAATGCAGATATTTCCCGTCATGTAAGGCGCAATTTGTAATCATGGAAGTTTTCTTAAGGTTTCAAAGCTTTTGGAACAGTTAGAACCTATTCGTGGTTCAAATATTAATCAGGCTTCAATGATTGTGCAAGATTTTTACCACAACATTTCCAACCGTATTTCAAATAATCCTATGTACTCAGTGAGTCGTTATTTTGTTTTCTTTACAAATAATAGAGTATATTATCTCTGTCCTGTTGGTGTAATGCAGTAAAACTTAGATCCTTTTAGGTAACCATATAACTACTTTCCTCCTAATCTAAATACAGCCTGCATCTTAATAGTCTGTAATCTTTCCTTGTTGCTGCTTTGGTTGTTTCTATGAGTGAAATTAAAAGTATTACTGCCACGTTATTTATTTTTATGAAAGCCACATCCTTCAGTTATCATATCGGCTCATACTAGAAGTTGTTTGTTATATAATTTACCTTTTTCTTGTTTTGAAATATTGATTTACGGGGATTTGATTGATTTCAAGTCTGATCACGAACTGACTTCAGTTGAGGAGCCACTGAAAACCAGGGAGTACTGAACAGTTGTGTTACCTTAGTTTGGGACTCTTCATTAGTACGCTTGCATGACCCCACTGTGAGGGTTTGAACCCAAGGCCTTCGGGTTACAAGGTTAACCCGTAGTCCATTCAGCAACTGAGACGGAATCCAATGGTTGTCTAACTGAAGTCACTTGGTGATTAATCTTTCTTCGTTTGTTTATATGGTGAGTAAATGAAAGCCTTTCATGATATAATTGTTTAAATTATTACTGTTTTATTATTATTATTTGATTCCATTTATTTATTCACCCCCCCCCCCCAGAGTTTATCAGTACAAACCAGGGATTCTATACTAAATTCAGTAGAGCGCTTTGTTACAACATGGATTTATTTTTGGGCTTTTGCTTCCCCTACAACTGATGATGAAAATGTAGACTTGAAATTACAAGAAAAAATTCGTTCATTACACTGGGTAACTCCTTACCTACTTGATTCTCCAATCAATCCAAATTCCCCGGAAGAACTTACTCATTTGGATTTAGCTACATTTGGTAAGTCTTATTTCTTTTGCATAGGCGAAACTACAATGCTTTCAGTCAAATGTGTTATTGACTTATCTTTATTTATGTGGGCTATACGGGTTTTTATACAATGGTTGTATAACTTCATATATGAAGCCATAGCTAAAATCAGTTCGAAGAAATTTGATCCAGAACCTTTTGTGCATATACATTATGAAATATTGAACAGTTCCACCTACCTGATACTCGTCTCTACAGTTAAAATAACTTCTCAAAGATATTCTGCTGTACAAATGTTATCTATCAAGCACCTGTTACCCTGATCATACTAAGATCCACGTATATACGATGTATTTATTTTGATAAAATTCAGTACAAAAAGCACTCAATGATTTGATAATATATAAGTGCTATTGCTTCTTATTACTTTCTATGCCCCCATAAATGACCTGGTACTTCTGAGGATGTAATTCTCTCATGTGGTCACGCGTTCACAGTCTGTGTCAGGTAGGTCCTATTTACTGCCTTCATGCAATGGGCGGCAGTGTTCCTCGCAAGAGTAAGAGAGTGAATTTGAATGTCTGGCGCTTACCGTCGGACTGGTGGACATTCTAGTCTACCTAGAAAACCCTGATTCCAAACCTATCGTGTGCGTGGGTCCAAGAATCCGATTGGATCGAATGGCGTATCAACCTGTTTTGGACACCGGAAACTATGTGAACGTGGCTCCCGACGCTGCTGCACTGCCTTGTGAATTGCATTTCAATTCAAAAGCTTGGAGGATAGCCCCTTGAGATAGTCTGGCCTCAGGGCAGTATCCCAGTCCTCTCACAAACCATGGGACTTTTTGTGGCTCATCTCTTAGTGACCATAATGTACCAAGTTTGTGTCTTCATGAAATAATATTGTTTTCTATAGACCTCGATCTACAGCTTATTATTTTGGTGCTTGATTGCTTAGTTTCGCCGTTCTTATTTAGAGAAGTGTTGTTTATAATTCTTCTCAAATAAACATTCAGCATGTTACCACTTGTATTTGGTAAATTGGATTTGTTCATGGTTTAGATCACCCACCTGACCGATAGCTGCTACCTTGACGTGGTGGTCTCCGGGCTTACATATCGCAATGACCCAACAAGCTACACTGGCTGGAACTATTGTTCCTGCAGGTCCTACCATGCCAGGAAGGTTGTTAGGATAGCGTTTAGACTAAAAGCAGTAACCGGCATTGTGGAAGAGTTTTTTTACACTATCCTGGGGGTCGTACTGCTGGGAAACAGGGAGGTAACAGCAGTAAGGTGTTTCCCTCAGATGACCAACATGCCAGCCACTTATGCTGTCTCTCCACTCTGGATAGAGGGGTATAGAAAAGATATGTCCCAACAATTGTACATCCTGACTTACCCTACGGTGGTCCGTAACCGGCAGTAAGTTTACTAATACGGAACCAATCCCAGAAACCAGTTCATACAGGCCGTGTGTCACCGGCTTCAAGCACTTGTCCCCTGGGCTCTCCGGTCACGCAACACTAACCCTCTTTCTGTTTCAGGTACCCGAGGACTCAATTAGATAACCCAGCGAGAAAGCTATATTTATTTTGGCAACCTTAGGTAACATCTCAGGGTCATCAATCTCTAGGCAAAATATGTGATTGCTTTCACGGAGGTGCTGTCTGATATCTCGGACTGTAACGTAGATCACAGTGATGGCTGTTAGTCCCATATCGATACTGTTTTTGTGTTGTTACTGGATAGCAGATAATTAGGAAGTATTGGTTGAATATTTTAACTGTTGGTTAATGTGTTTTCAGTTGCTTTCTGTCCTAGTTGACTCTCGTACTCAAAAATCACAAAATTTTCTACAACAGTTCCTTCATTAAATGTAGTATCTACCTGCTTTTACATCTCTTTGCTGATTTTGGCATTCCCTGATAATTTAATCTGCTTTTTTTTGGGGGGGGGTTTCTGATCAAATGTCAGTGATTCCCAGGTTAGACCATCATTTCTTGCGTTTAAAATGTTGTGGTGTTCATTGGTTGACGGACTTCTGAGTAAACTGATACGGGAACTGTTTAATGATAATGATAATAAAACGTAGATGAATGGCTTAAAATGCTAATTTAACCCTATATCTTAAAAATGCGTTTCAAAGATTGTATGAGTTGCTTTAAGTACATATTTTTAGACTCAGTCATGTAATGTAATGTAATGACAACAGCAATAGTCATTTTCGATAAAGATGATTGATGGGCGACTGACTGACTGGTTTCAACGCAAAACTTTGCACAGATGTGCAGCAGTTCGAGTCGCCACACTTCACTTAGCACACAGCAAAAGAAGAGAGTAAAGAGAGATTCAAAAGAGAAAAAGAGATAATAAACAGAAATGTGCGGCAAAAAGAATAGTAATATGGAAGAACAACAGAGTTTTATTGGATATTATAAGCCACAAGGAGTGGATGCATCTGCGCCAGCCATTGAGGACGATTTTGGGCCATATCACCAATTATCTCCAGCCACTGGATTTTACCATCCCGAGGACCCCAACCAGTCAGGCAGTCTACACCTCCCTACGTGACTGGCTTAAAATAAGCGTTGTGGATTTCATTGACTAATGTAGCCATATTTTGGTTTGACCACCTCTAACTCTTTTCTATCCTATGTCAGCTAACATTGCACGTCGAGGAAGGCAATCGATGGCTAGGCAGGCATGCGTAACACATGTCCTAAGCATCTCAATCGATGAGGCTGCTTCACAGCCACAGTGGTCTAGTGGGTTAACCCCTTGATGTTTGAAACAATGGGCGATGGGTTCAAGTCCCAATGAGGATGGCAGGCACATCCAGCTAACGAGTCCCAATTAGAGTGAAATACACATCCTGGATTCCCCTGCTTAATCCCCATCCACCAAATATACCCTATGACCACTAGCCAAAACCAGTCCTATAGAATATAATTCAGTATCTGGGCTTAACAAATGAACGGTTTAAAACTGCGTTTGGGATTGGTAGTATTTTTTATAGCATCATTTTCCTCAAAACTTGTTTTATTCTTACCTAACTACAGGTTTAACAACTACTCAAAGTATACAGTTCTAAGAGTTTTTGACAGTAAACTAAAATCTACTTCCACGGGTTGCTTATTGATCTGTATTGACTCAATTTTTCAAAATTTCGTAATGCCTTACAACGTCATTTATGACCTGAAGTGTCTATCGTGACTCAATTTCACTATTTATCATATGACATTATTACTGTGATTGGTGGTTGAAGGCGAAATCAACGTGTGTTTGACCACCAGATATTTTTTCTTTTAGCTATTAAAACTAAAAGTACATGGATAAAAATCAAAATAATAAATAGAAGTAGTTCTTATTATCAAACCTCGTGCTTCCTGCTGTAAACGTAATCCGAAATTATTGAATTGATTTCCTTTACAGCTGATTGATTACAAGCAAACTGGAATTCTCAATTAAGCGTTACACTTCAAACCATTATAATCACTCACTCACTCATTCACTATGTGGTATCTTTATATTACTTTTATGCTCATGTATAGTTGTTTCGTACCGTTTATCCATTCATATTTTACCTTTGGTATTGAGTAAATCAATCAAGCTCATTTTTTTTACCTACAATTAGAACGTCAATATTTAGCCTTATTTTCAAAGTGTTTTGTCTCGATCGAATAACTTCCTCGACGGACAATGTTAGCTGACATAGGGTCAAATTGGAAAAGAGAAACCTAGTGGTGGTCAAACGAAAACATGGCTTCATCAGTCAGTAAAATCCACAACAGTTAGTTTAATCCAAGTTAGGTGGTGTAGACTTCCTGACTCGTTGGTATCCTCGGGATGGTAAACACCAACGAAGGCTGGAGACAATTGGTGACATGGCTCAAAATCTTCGTTGTCAATGGCTGGCGCAGATGCATCCACCCCTTGTGACTTATAATATCCAATAAAGCTATATGGTTCTTCGATATTACTATTCTTTTTGCCTCATATCTCTGTTCACTGTTTCTATTTTGCATCTCTTTTCACTTTCTTCTCTTGCTTTGTGTGCTACATGGAGGGAAAGTGGCAACTCGAACTGCTGCACATTGGCGCAAAGTTCTACGTTGAAACCAGTCAGTCAGTCAGTGATCGAATAACTTGGTAAAGTGATCTGACCTTTATACACAAGCATTTAAAAGACTATTATACGTCTTCAAAGGACCAGCACATTATTATTATTATTAAAATGCAAACTTAGTACATTATGGGCACCAAGAGATGCGCTACACAAAATCTCACAGTTTGTACGAGCGGCGAGAGCTGGGATAACTGCCCGAATGCATTGAATTATAGTCAGGAGCTACGTGCTTTTATAGTTTCTGGTGACCAAAACGCGTTCACATGCCATTCGATTCTTTCGGATTCTGGAGCCATTAGATTTGAAATCACGGTTTTCCAGCTCCCTTGGATAGAATAGAATGCATTTTTTTGGTGGGGGGGGGGAGACTGAAGTCTGCTTACGCTTGTCCCATACCAGGTCGTTTGTGAGGGCCCTAACTAACGCAATTGGTATTACCACCTTTTTTAAAGCAAACATACACACATACACACTGCTATATGCTCATAATATTTACAGTGGTGACGATTTAGGCGTCACTAAGGTATTATATTATTATAAATGATTCACTACTAGGTGCTTCGCAGTTTTGTTCACCCTATCTTTAAAACTTTATCTTGTGTGGTTCTGAATTCAATTTCTTTAATTCCTTCTTTTCCACGCTATCCCATATATTTTACCTAGCGTTTTTGTCTGGATTCTTACACATGAATTTTCTCTGTATGCAGTTTCGAAAACTGAAAACCGTAGAAAATTTAACTTCTCTTGGGTATCAGGTGTTGTATTCATTCTCCAGATTCAGTAGAAGAGAGAACAGGCTAAATTTCATGAGAAATTCTTTCGTGAACATCGGTCGTGTAAATAAATGTTCGGTGGGATTAAATTTTTGACCTTGTTATTAAGACATGGACGAATAACCTTCTGAAATGTAACTTAAATTCCTCATTAGATCCTACAACAAAAAGTATGTTCAGTAAATGGTTACTCTTTCTAAATCTTTCTCAAACTGTACAGTTACAGTTACTTAGCAGCAAAAAGAAATATTCTCCTGAATCGCAGATTCAGGTAATGTCTGTCGCATATCTATTAGAAACTGTGGTGAGAGCTGTCTGCAAGCCGAAAATCGTAGACGGCAATTTACGTCAATGTTACGTCCCGAATCGGGGTCATACGAAAAAACAGTAACAAAGCCCAACCTTGAGGAATTCACCAACCAATCACAGCAGACTCAAGGTGTGTGCAAATACGATTCGCGGATATATGGCTTAACTTTCTAAGAAACGGTCACGAGCAGTACAGAATAACCTTCAGCAAGAAAACAACCAATCAGAAGACGTTGCTTCTCTGCTAACAATAACGCTAATATTAATGTACATAAAAATCTATAAATATCTGTTGATTTTCTCAATAAACGATTTGTTGCCTGGCCCTTGTCTTCTGTCGTTACAAAACAACTTTTCCTGCAGTCAGATTCTAACTTACTTTCACCATTCAAACAGTGATATAGCTATGTGTAAATAAAGGAGAGGTTACTGTCACTAACCTCTTCGCCTAACCCTATGGAGATAGGTATATCGGTCGCACTTAGAGTTTACCTTCTAAATGTATCATAGAACGTATGATTTCCTGGTTTTTCAGAAAAAAAACATTTAATGACGCTTCTAAGAGCTCCTCATACTGACATACTCTGAGATGTACGGTATGATAATATACAGTTATTAAAGTTCACTTACGATTCATCATGTGTGTCGAAACCGATTCATACTTCTCTATCCAATTTTAGAATGTTTCTTAAATTCTGGCTTTTAAACCATTAAAATGATACTCCAAAATGTATCATGATTCACATTTTATGAAAAATGACATTGTGATACGATGTGTCTTGTTTATTAAGTTACCACAAGCCATTCGGTTGCTTCAAACTATTATATGCTCTGTCAGTCAAGCATTTCAGTGTAAATCTCGTCAGGAACCAGCTTGCCTGTCTGAAAGTTCTGGCATCGATGTCTGATGGTGTCGTGGGCGCCCAATTCTGAAGAGTTCCAGACTATGATGAAACAGATGTCCAACTCTCCTTGGTTTCCAGTTGGTTCATGGCGAAATCTACATTGAGATTAATCCGAATCCCTACAAAATCCATAATCTGAGCTCACGCATTACTGTTATCAGTGATCCTCCACGCATCACTTTTCTATCCATATATATATATATGTATATATATATATATTACTATGGTTACCTGGCGGATACTTCAATAATTTCCAATTGTTGGTTTTGTAGGGATTTTTGTTTGATTGGTTGGAGGATTTCATCTTAAAGTGATATCAGTTAGAGAACCATTGGAAAACCAGCTGAGAGTAGTGGACAGTCAGCTGTTTCGTCCTAGTTTGGGGCTCTTCACCAGCACACTCCCACCACAGGAATTCGAACCCAGGACTTTCTGGTTACAAGGCTGGCGAGCTCGTAGACCATTAAGCCACTGGGACGTGATCCAATGACCAGTGCATGAATTCCAACTTTTGCCAATTCATGACATAACGCGACCACTTCGCAATATCTTCTTCGATGAGTTACTGCCTCACCTTCAACCTGCTGTACCCTACTGGTCATGGCTTCCCACTAGAATCCCAGTTTAACTGCCTGAATAGGACCAGTCGCCAGTGAGCATCAAATTAACTTTCAAGTATTGGTTTTGTAGGGACGACGCAACCAGTAGGGTACAGCAGGTTGAAGGTGAAGCAGTAACTCGTCGAAGAAGAAGACATTGCGAAGTGGTCGCGTTATGTCATGAATTGGCAAAAGTTGGAATTCATGCACTGGTCATTGGATCACGTCCCAGTGGCTTAATGGTCTACGAGCTCGCCAGCCTTGTAACCAGAAAGTCCTGGGTTCGAATCCTGTCGGTGGGTGCGTACTTCTGAAGAGTTCCAAACTAGGACGAAACAGCCGTCCATTAACTCGCAGGTTTTCCAATGGTTCTCTAACTGATGTCAACCCATGATTAAATCCTCCAACCAACTTCAATAATTGTTTTGCATTTTTCCTCCTTATCTTATTTCAGCTCTTATCAAAGTGAATACACTTCTAGCCTCTGAGGATAAATTGGATCAAATAGTTGAATGCTGTCGCAGTGTCTTTGATGCTTTAAAAGTTCACTATCGAAATTATTCTGTTAAAACTCAAGAATATATGTACAATAATGCTGCCACCAATGATGTAAACACTGGTACTAACAGTAATAGTAATAGTAATACACCGTTGGGTTCTGTCTTCAAGCCAGGTATGAATAATTCAACTCTACCGAAAACTTCTACTAATCCTATGCATAATACTGTCGAAGAAGATAATACTACAGCGAATGCTGATGATTTCCTACCCACATTAATATGGGTTGTCCTAAATTCAAATCCACCGTTGATTTACTCGAATTTACAATTTATTATGCGATTTGCTAATCAGAATAGATTGAATAGTGGAGAAGCTGGTTACTTCTTTACAAATCTGGTGAGTTGTGATTTAGTTTTCTTTTAATTTATAGCAGGTTGAAGATGAGACAGCAATTCATCGAAGAAGACACTGCGAAATGGTCGTGCTATGTCGTGAATTAACAGGAGTTAGAATTCATGGGCTGGTCATTGGATCAGCTGGTCCCAGTGGCTGCTTAATGGTCTACGAGCTCGCTAGCCTTGTAATCAGAAGGTCCTGGGTTCGAGCCCTGTCTGTGGGTGCGTGCTAAAGAAGAGTCCCAAACTAGTGGGACGAAACAGCTCTCCAGTACTCCCAGGTTTTGCTGTGGTTCCCTAACTGATGTCAGCTCATGATGAAATCCTCCATCTTATTTAAATTAGTTAATGATATAAAAGTATTTATATTTCCCCGTGAATGAAGAAAACAAAACGGTATTCCATTATGGACAGAATGTTATTTTGATAAAATCACTCAGTGTTATACGGTAATATTAACTGATGACAACGTTTCGAGCACAATTTATTGCTCTTCATAATCATATCAAGCCACTCACACAACTTTCTTGCTTCATTTATATACATGAGTAAAAATTCATGATTAGACAATTGAATAAAATCAATATAAGATAAAGTACATTCAGAAATAATAATAATATTAGTGTTATCAATAAAATACAATCAGATGGGAAATAAGATGTTTTTTATAGTAAAAATAAGTAACTAGTAGATCAGGAGTAGTGAGACTACCTGTCAGAACATAAGAATTTAGCTAAGGTTAAAATGATTGATCTGACGAAGATAAGTAATTTAGAAAGAAAGCTCAGCAATCACACTGCATGCATTAACACACAACCACATAATAGGGTGGGTGGGACAGAGTCAAAATTCTAAAAAGTAATCTATGTAGGTGGAGAGAGAGATTGATTACTGAATCCTGGTTCATTGAATCTACACCCAACACAACACATGCAATAGAAGTGACTCAATGCAAACACCAGAGATATGGAAGATATTATTACCATAAGTCAAATCAGAGGAGGATAATAAATAATCTTAAAATTCTATTTCAATTCAAGCACATCACAACATTCTAACAAGTTACTTATTAATATTATTATTATTATTATTATTATAACTATGAAAGCACTCGTCTTATTTCGCATCTGATTGTACTTGATTGATAACAGTGGTCTTATATTGATTTTTATTCAAATGTCTAATCATCAATTTCACTCATGCATATAAATGAAGTAAAAAGTTGTGTGGGTGACGATATGATTATGAGTGGCAATAATTTGTGCTCGAAACGTGGTCATCAGTTAATATTACTGTGTAACACTGTGTGATTTTATCAAAATAAAATCTTATCCATAATGGACTTATACTCTACCGCCACAGTGCCGAAGTTTTATACTTACAACAATAATACAAAACGCTATTGTTAATACCGACGTTTAAAATACTGCCAATGCTTTTATCAAATAATATTATTAAACCAGAATTAGACACGTTCATCACTGCATTTCCAAATATCCGGTATGGTTAAGTAAGGAACAAATAAGATCTATTCGTAGCTAGCTCTGTTTTAGCACACCTTGTAGATAGTGTGCGTAAAGTTGATGTTAGTACAGCATTCAAAATTATTTATCGCATTCTCATACTAATCTTAATTTCGCTTTACGAGTTCGTCTTCTAAATACAACAGCTGAGGCCATAGAAATCCACCTGTGGAAGAAGCTAAACCTTTATGTTCACAAGAAATTCGTACAGCCACTTTTCTTATTTTGGCCATCGTTACATGAATGTATAAACCCCAGACTACTTCGTGCCCCTCCCCTTAAACCTTTTAAAAATTATAATTGTCCAAATTATTTTTCTGACTACTTCATCTTTATTTAATTAAAAGTTATCGAATCGTTTTATTTTTCTTTAATTATCTGTAACGTAATCAACTTGGACACTCACTTATTCCCTAATTGTTCTTCATTTTTCCAAAATTATGCATTATGCAATCCACTTGTTGTAACCATTTATACCTTTTAATTGTGTGCATTAATTTTCTTCGTTAATTATCACCCCTTTGACATGTTGATATTGATACTGACTAATTATTTTTAACAAACATATCGCCACTTGATTGGTAAATTGTTGTGTATTGTAATAAAAATTCTATGTATGTATATTAGAGTAGAGTCAGAGATGAGGATCAAATTTAAAAGCAAATATTTCTCCGTCCAGAATTCACAAAATCTCAGCTTATATACAGTAATTTAATCATAGCTCTTCAGCGTGAGGTAATTTTTTTGCGTTGTCAAGTAGGTGAATTCGCAAGGATGGCGAATCATGTGTTGGTTGTTGGATTTGATAAGTTTATGAAGTTATGCAAAACGGCTTGTGTTTACATAATGAAATTGCCTATCACATTTGTGCTGATTTTATCACCTCATGGGGAAGAGAGACTTTGCGACCTGGTCATAGTCTGTTTTGATCCCTCATTCTTATTCAGACAATTAGGATCCCATCAAATCTGAAGTTTTTCTGGATGATTTCAGTATTGTCAAAATCAATTTTGCGACCTGATTCAATAAACATGTAGACGTATGGTTGACGATTTTTCAAAGTTTTCTTGTCCCATTGGATTTCTCTGTGGTCAGTGATGCTACTGGATACATGCATTTCTTCGGAAGCAGCAATAATCGAATACGTGGAGCCGCTGCACATTCTCAACTTGAAGAGACCAGGTTTCCCAGGCGTAGAGCAAAACTGCGCACACCGAAGTATTGGAAAAACCGACTTTTGACAGCCAGACTAACTTCTCAAAGATGCCAGAAGTGGCCTAAATTGGCGTATGATAGCCTAAGCGTTCTTTATACGACTGGAGATCTCACCCAACATTGTGATGGGGGACTCTGTAATGTGACACATATGTTCACTCTTAGTCTTCCGAATTCTGAAATTCTTCACTTAGTCACTGTCCTTATTACACCGATGCTTGTATGTTATAAAATCATTGTGTTTCTGTTTCCATATTTTGTATGCTTCCTGAAATTGTGTCAGGACTTGAACTGATTTAACTTCTGTGTTATGTTCTATGTTGATCTACTTGAAAACTGGCGTTTTTTTGAATATACACAGTTTTGTTACAGGATTTCATCATGAGCTGAAATCGGTTAGAGAACCATTGGAAAACCTGGGAGTACTGGACAGCTGTTTCGTCCTAGTTTGGGGCTCTTCATCAGTACGCATCCACCGGGGTTCGAACCCAGGACCTTGTGGTTACAGGGCGAGCTCGTAGACCATTAAGCAGCCACTGGGACCCGATCCAATGGTCAGTCCATGAATTCTAACTTCTGCCAATTCACGATATAGCGCAACCGCTAGCCAATGTCTTCGGCGAGTATTTGTCCTCGAAGTTTCAACGTTGAACTTATTCATGTCTTTTTGAACTTTACTTTCTTCTTTCATCCTATATAGTCATGTGCTGTACATTTTCTCAGAAATCTAACACATGAATCACTTAGTTTATCAGAAGAAGATTTCGGCCGATGTATGCGGAAAGGTTTAGCACTGGTGAGACGTTCTGGTGAACCATTATCAGAGGGCGAGAAAATGCTTACAGAGAATGGGATTCATTTGGTGGATCTAGAAGATAGGTAAGCATTTTTGTTTGTTTGTCCGTAAAAGGGGAGTATTGGTTATTTTTCACTTCTAGTTGTGTCGGTTTTTTACTTCCCTGTAAATAGAGTTCTGTGTCTGTTTTCGTCTCGTAATATTTCATGCAATCAGCCTAGTCAACCTGTCCATCGCTTTACAAAGAAAATTGTTTTCGGTGGCACAGCAGTTAGGACTCTCGCCGGCCATGCACATGGTTCGAGGTTCGATCCCTGGTCGACGCACACCTGATATCAATGGTCGGCCTGCAAAATTTGGACTATCATATGCTGAAAATTCCATACTTGTAGCAAAAATACTGTGTTGAATCAAGCTATAATAGAGAATAATGTTAGGGGAAGATTTTAAGGTTAAATTAATATCACTAAAATAAAATAAAGACACCTAGGTAACTATGTACTGTGATCGACTTGGGCAATGGGTTTTTTGCCCTAGGACTCGGCGCTATCTCTATTCCGTTGTCTAATTCACATCAGTTTTTTTTAACTTCCTTTAGTTGCGAGTGAAAAATACGACTTCAGGTTTGAAGCCTTGAAGTTTCAGTGGCTATGGTATTGTTTTTACGGGGTAGGGCTGCTACCTTCACGCCCAACCTTACCTCTTTTCCGGGGTTTACTACTGGCTGGGAATCAAACTCCAGACCACAAGAGTGGCTAGTGAGCATTCTACCGCTAAACACACTGACGCACACTCTGTTAATTAAGTAAATGACCCTGTAATAGCAACTAATTTTAGTCTTACCGCTATCTAACCGACCTTTATTGATATGGTAGTGTATGTGCAGGAATATTCACTCTAGCCCCAACATAGCCCAATGGATCTCTGTGCTATACTAGCCTGACCAAATTAAGGTGCCAGCTATCGGTCACAGTAAACTTTAGACTTAAATATTAGTATTAATAATGACCGTTAGTTGGAAAGAGACTTTTGATGTAAGTGTGAGGTTATAATCATTGCAAAGAATATGAGATAGTCAAAAAAGTTTGTCAGACAGACAAAAAAACTTCACTTTAAGATAAGATAAACACAAGAATATTAATCTGTTATTGTCTTATGATATTATTATTATTCCCTTGGGTTCCGAGTAGAACATAGGACTCCAGAAGCACATCTCCATTACATCCTGTTCTCAGCAGCCCTTTTCAGCTGACTGCACGACTGTCCATATGGTTTCATCTTCTCCTCACGCGCTCTCTTCTTCATGTCATCACCGCACCTACGCCTACCTCGCCATTTTCTATTTGGGTTCCACTCGAGAGCCTTATGATACTTGTGACAGGTTCGTATAACTTTTCTGACTTAATGTGTAGTATTAATATACCCAATGTAGTGTTAAGCATCTTTTGAGTCTATTTTAACTTCCCGGTTGAATGGTTGGACCGATTATTGGCATGTCAGCTCACAGTATGGACTCTTCGAGGATTTCTGAGGATTAACATGATATTATTTGGTAGATGGTGACTAGTAGAACGTAAATTGCCTCCTATTTAGGACTCTTCAACTGAGTGTACCTTAAGAACAAATACTAACTGATACCTGTTGTACGAGAGGTGGTTTTCGTGGATAACGCTTTGACGTTAGGAGCGATGGGTACTAAGTTCAAGTCTAAGTAGAAACACCATCATTCACGGGGGAATGCATGTACATGCGGCTGACGATTGCGAAATATGACGAAATGCGCATTCTGAATTCCACTACTACTCACCATCCACCAATTTACTTCAAGTAATGATAAGTACTTAAAAATTTAGATGTTTAGAGTTAGCCACTAGGAAACTCTGAATCTTAGCGCTTCCATACTTGTCGACATTCGCTAGCAATTGCGCCTCTGTAACCATGCAAAAGTTCATATTTTTTGGATAACTTTTTATTGAAGCTAGAAACACTAATTTTTAGCTAGTAGATTGCAGCATTTAACCTGTTGTAAAACCGCATTGTCACGTTATTTAACCAAATGACTAAACTACTCACCTGATCGATAGATAAGACATGACCGTTATACTAATTAACTACTATCCAGTGACTTATTCTTATAAGTATTACAAAAGCAATCCAAACATCCTTCTTCTTCTCATGACTTCAGACTATAGACGCATGAATTAACGCGCATTTCTTGCCGATTCTAGTGTCAAAAATTTTCGATGTGAAATCGTATGAAATTGCATAGTTCGCGTAAAATGGATGTCGCCGATGTGTTATATCACACAAACTCAAAAATCTACAGGCTAAAACCAACAAGTTGGCAGAAGAAGCGATGAAGATAGAAGTTTAAGTAAAAATATAGAGGACATAGGCGATGAAGATTCGCGACTGCCGACGATAGCAGCAAGCACGAATCATCATCAACGGGAGGTTACCTGTTTCACTTATCTAGGCAGCATCATTTCATGAAGACTTTATTCGAATTTCAAATAACTGTAACCTTATATGTTAGTTAAGTAGAAAATAAATTCTGTATGTACAGGCCTCACACAACTCACTGTTTAGTTAGTTATTCTCTACATACTACTTGTTAGTAGTTGAACTCTTCATGTATAATTTGTAATTTGAACAAAGCAGGAACTACAGTTTTAGCAGAATAAAGTGGTATCATCTTTTATTTCGTTGCCTTCTCGTCAGCTGCTTACAGGGCAAAGACATTATTAAATATATCTACAAAAACAATTTTAACATACTTGCACAGAGTTCATTTTAAACAAAAATCAATCAATATACGCATACACTAATAATATATACATATTATATATGCAATATTAAACACTATTCCGAACAACAATAATAATCATACACAATGAAAACTTTTCAGCATCTCGCATTCGGATGAAAGAGAGATGAAAAATATCCAGTTACCAGGGCAAAGAAAGACTGATAACCGCTTCTTTCTGGACGCATAAATCAGGTTTCAGGCGCTTGATGGAAATGGCTTCAGCAAACTTAAGGAGAATTGAGCTCTTTTGCTTATTGATAATTTTAAACAACTTTTTGACGTCCAGCTCATGACCCGTGTCGAGGAGATGCCTGGCGATGGCACTGTTTAAAGCATTTGTTCCCTTTTAGACGTAAGCTTTTTGGTACATGTTCAGAAAATCGGAGGTATGCCCTTCTTTCTGTTCTTCCAATGTAACTGCTCCCACAGATACATGTAAATTTGCATGTACAGTTGGAGTTAACATGAGAAGGATATCTATTGATTTTTGATTGCATCAAACAAAAAGTTGTTCGATAAACGGGAACGAGCTTAGCTGCATGATAGGCTATGGCTAGTGATGTGCTCAGCCTTCTGTTGATCATCGCTGCAATGTTTTCACCTTTATAATCAAGCTGAAAGTAGATTGGCTTTTCTCGTACTGTGATTTGTTTTACATTTGTGACTTGTTGATGAACCTTTGAGGGTACCCATTGCTCTTCAATATCTTTTCAAGAAACTCAAATTCTTCCTCTAATTTCTCTATAGAGCATATTCTGCTCGCTCTATAGTACATAGTCTTGACTAGACCACGTTTAAAGCTATTTGGGCAAAAGCTATTAAAAGCCTCCAGCTTGAAGCCACCCTATGTTCCACTGGGAACATAAAGGAATAAATTAAAAAAATGACATGATTTTATAATAGATTTCCTTTTTTTAAAAGAAAACTTAACTAATGTTTCTTTCTTTTACATAAATTTCTTTCTTTCTTTTTCACAGCCTTAACGATTTAAACAATAAAATAGAATCTGCTGAATTAGAAATGAAAAAATTCCATGAACACTTTCAAAATGAAGTCAATGAAATACGAACAACTATTCCATTGAAGGTGAACACAGATGATTTAGATCCACGACATTTAGAAAATCCTCACATCCTTCTACTGGGACCACAGTGTAAACCTAATCGACAAAATCAATCCTTACTAGATACTGACTTGGATGAGACAACCAATCGTCTTCTACCTGATCCTATACTACCTGCTCCGTATACGGATGATCATTATTCGAGAAAAGCTGTTTGAGAAAAGGTCTATCATCATTGTGTGTGTGTGTGTGTATATGTACAAAAAATGTGTGTATTCGTAATGCTATTTAGTAATTCTTGCTATTTTTAGAAATAAGGCTTGTGAATAATATTACTTTCTTTTTAATATTTGATTTATCTATAAACGATTCCTATTTCTCTTCATAAATATATATAAACATGCAGCAGCATGTGCATACTTATACGTACATGAGTGATATGACAAGTAAATAAATTATTATTGTATATTCGGTGACTGTCTTTTGCTATTGTTATCCTCCCTTTATACTGCTACCGTCATAGAGAGACTATCTCCATTTTTTCGAATTTTGAAACAATGATGTCTAACTGATTGAAACTGCGTATGTTTGGCATGCAATTCGCTCCCGTCAAATGTAAGACGATGTTACAGGACTGGACTACACTGACTCCTCTTAGCTTATAAATAGGAAGTGAATTGGCGCCAATTTGGAAGTTGCATCAGCCCTAATGTGTTGATCGCTGATGAAATCTCAGCACGGATACAGAAGACTCGGTTCGCATAGGCCAGTTTACACCGTCTCTGGCGTAGACATAATATCCGGCTGGTTGTCGACCAAAGGGCGTGTGTACTGCTCAGCAGTTCGCTCCGTCCTCCCTCATGGCTAGCTGTGAGACAGCGGAAGACATGAAAAGATTAGCTGTCTTCGATCATAGGTGTCTGCGTTCTATCTCCCATGTGAAGTGGTATAATAGGGTGAGCAATATTGAGGTGAGGCTCCCGTCGAATGTTAGGTAAGGAGGGAAAATCAATCGACGAGGTTGTGAAGTTACACCGACTGAGATGCTTAAGGCATGTGTTACTCATGCCTAGCCATCTCCTTCCTCGACGGGCAATGTTAGCCGCTGACATAGTATGGATCAGGTTGGAAAAGAGCAAGTATGTGGTGGTCAAACCAAAACGTGGCTTCATCAGTCAATGAAATCCACAACAGTTAGTTTAAGCCACGTAGGAAGACGTAGACTGCCTGACTGGGGTCCTTGGGACGGTAAAAACCAATAAAGGCTGGAGACAATCGGTGATATGGCTCAAAATCGTTCTCAATGACAGCGCAGATGCATCCACTCCTTGTGACTTATAATATCCAATAAAACTATATTGTTCTTCGATATTGAAATAATAGAGATTTGTAGCTCAGGTGGATGATTTGCAATTAGTAGTGTTCTCTGAGCTTGTTGGTTTAGTTCTTCGATATTACTATTCTTTTTGCCTCATATCTCTGTTTACGGTCTCTATTTTGAATTTCTTCTCTTGCTTGTGTGCTACATGGAGTGTGGCGACTCGAACTGCTGCACATCGGTGCAAAGTTCTATGTTGAAACTAGTGAGCCAGAAACTGATATTAGATGGTTGGAGGCAATCGGCCCCAGGAGAAGCCTTCGACCTAGGTTTCGTGCTGGTCAGCACTCACAAGTTAGTAAGGCGAATCTGCAAACTTGAAGGAACTCATGTCCCTTTTGAGATTCGAACCCGCATTACCAGCACTGAGGTATTCGGGCTTGCGATTGACCTCGTGTAGAGCTGTATAATTAAATCATAATTAAATTAAGTCAGTCATTCATTATTCCTTATCCTCTGTTTTATTGATAGTAATAATTTCCATATCTGTGGTATTGGTGTTGTGTCATTCGTATTGGATGATGTAGGTGTAGGTATGATGAAGAAAGATTCAGTAATCACCTTCTCTCCATCTACCTAAATTACTTTGGAGAACTGTAGCTCTGTACCTCATCCTATTATGTCAGTGTATCTATTGCAATTGTTCATCAATCATTCTACACTTAGCTAAATTCCTATGCTCCAGCAGATAACCTAACTGCCGCCAATTTACTAGTCTGATCTATGTAGATCATTTTTCTCAAAAGAATGTTGTAGCCCAATTCGTTGCTATGTATTACACTGGAATGAGGATTCATTCATGCGTAATATAAAGAATTTATAACTGGTTACTGACTGTTGTATCATCCTTGCCTGACTATTAACTATCTGATCGGTTAGACTACTAAGATCACGCTCTTTTTATATAATCGATAGTGTAAACACTAGTGTTTACCTAATTTCCTATCTTCTTTCCTTTTTATCATATAATCTAACTTTGGAAACTCCCCTTTGTAACTTTTTAATTCATAAGTGAGTGGAATGGCCTCTACCTTTGAGTTGATATGTTCGAAAAATGTGTTTACATCTTGTGTTTTTAGTACTGTGAATGTATCATCTACATACCTCTACTATACTTTCAGGGGTGGAGATGAACGTTTCAGTCAATAGCTAAGTATTGCAATCTATCCATCCGGTAAATAATACCTAATATATCCAATAAACAAATTAATTTAGAACTATATACTACCACAGTGGAGCCCTCCTAAAATCACTCAGCTACCTGAACTTCCAACCAATACAATGCGTCTTATCTTCTGTCATTTTTGCTGTTTTAATCATTCAGTCATGTCCGTGGGTCGCCGTATGTACTCATGTACATTTTTAATTGGTTTCCAACCTACCATCACGCATTTCTGAGGCATCAAAGAAAAATACTATAAAAGATTATTTTATTCTTCAGATCGAATAGCATTGCGTCACGTGATGTTCTGGAGATGGCCGTTTCACTTGAAACTCCTGGATAAAGAGAAAATATTATGCAATAAACTACGCTAAAAATTGTGAATATTGTGTAAACTTATTGTGCAGAATAAGCTATTATTACTATAATATATGGATCTCGAAATGGCTCGAACAACTTGCACACACCTAACCATTACTTATTCTTCAATAGGTTACGCGTCGAGTATTAGATAAGCAGGGGAAATCTATCGATGAGTTAGTGAAGCTACATCGATTGAGATGGTTAGGACATGTGTTACACATTCATGTCTATCCATCGCCTTATTCGGCGAAAAGTATAAGCTAACATAGGATTAGAATTTAATTTGAGGATGGTAACTAGCAGTGAAATCCAGAATGCACATTTCGTCCTATTTGGGACTCGTTAGCTAACTGGATGTACCTGCATTTCCCAGTGTGATGATGTTCCCACCGAGGCTCGAACCCAGTGCCTATAGTTTCAAACGCCAAAGCGTTACCCACTAGACCACTTGGACCACGAGAGCCACCTCTTGTGCAACGGGTCATATTAATTTAACTGAATTTTAGATTTTCCCATCGATTGATTGGACCGAAGTGCTTGGTCTCAGGTTGACATGTCGGCTTCTTGTGCAGATGCTTCAACGATATCTGGGCGTTTAATTAGAATTTAATTTGTGGATGGTGACTAGCAGTGGAATCGACGGGAAAATCTAAAATTCAGTTAAATTAATATGACCCGTTGCACAAGAGGTGCCTCTCGTGGTCCAAGTGGTCTAGTGGATAACGCTTTGGCGTTTGAAACTATAGGCACTGGGTTCGAGCCTCGGTGGGAACATCATCACACTGGGAAATGCAGGTACATCCAGTTAGCTAACGAGTCCCATATAGGATGAAATGTGCATCCTGGATTCCACTGCTAGTCATTATCCCCTCCAATTAACTTATAATTACATGCCCAGACATCGTCGAAGCATCTGCACAAGAAGCCGACATGTCAACCTGAGACCGAGCAATTCAGTCCAATCAATCGACGGGAAAATCTAAAATTCAATTAAACATAGTATTAGGTTAGAAAAGAGCTAGTGGTGGTCAAACGAAAACTTGGAATCAGTCCATGAGATCTTTAATGGTTAGTGTGAACCAGCCGCGTAGGAAGGTGTGAACTACCTGGTTGGTGCCCTTAGGATTCTAAGAACTAATAGCTGGAAACTATTGATGGTATGGTTCAAAATTCGCGTTCACAATGGTGCAGATGCATTGACTCTTTGTAATCTTCCATATCCATTAAACCCGATTGTTTATCTACGTACTATTCTTTCTCCCTTACATTTTTTGCTTGTTGCTGTTATTTCGAATCTCATAGTTATTACCAGACCGGATAAGGGACCGGGGATAGTAATTAAGGGCAGGCAGGATTATATAAACATGATGAACTCCACACTAGATGATGGCAGAAAGTTTCACAAGCCGAAAATAATGAAAGATCAGACGGAAAAAAGTAGAGAGAGAGAAATAACAAACTTATCAAAGGATTTGAAAGGTAAAGAGTACATATCACCAAAAACTTACGAAAACATAAAACCCACATGGAGCACCATCTCACGCATGTACGGTCTATCGAAAGGGCATAAATCAGGAGTGCCCCCACGTCCCTTACATTTTTGCCTATTACTGTTCTTTCGAATCTCTATTTTTGTGCTACATGCAGTGTGGCCACTTGAACTTGTGCACTTCTGAGCAGAGTTCTATGTTGAAACCAGTCAGTCAATCTACTTGTCTTGAATGGACATATTAAGTAGCGCCCGACAAAGATAAATTGAAGTAGAGCAAATATAGAAAATAAAGCGATCCATGTCAAGTAGTGAATGGATAGAGTACGCAGACACAGACACACACACAATAAACTCTGGGAACGAATCAACCCACCAACAAGCGATTGCTTAACAAATATTCCGAAGAAAATGGAGACGGATTGGGCACACGCTGACGAGACTGTCAAATGACATCGCTCAAGTGGAATGAATCTGAATGGGAAACGACGAGTTAGGCGTCAGTCTGAGGGTGATATGTAGGAGATCGTGCGAGGAGGAGATCAGAGACAATGGGCAACCATGGGGCCAGCTTAAGACCACTGAGAATAAGACAAATTGGAGATGTTGCTGTTGAAGCTCTATGTTCTACTTGGAACCCAAGGGAACAATAATTATAATAACAAACAAACACAAACATACAGCATTTAATAGATCATCAGTTACAACAATTAAAAGTATGAGATTTTCAAGTATTGCGCCATTGGATCGGGTTCCATTGGCAGCTTAATGGTCTACAAGCTCGCTAGCCTTGTAACCAGAAGGTCGTGGGTTCGAACCCCGGTGGGTGGGTGCGTACTGCTGAAGCGGAGTCCCCAACTAAGCTGACGAAACAGCTGTCCACTACTCCCCCTTCAGGTTTTCCAATGGTTCTCTCTCTAACTGATGTCAGTTCATGATGAAATCCTATAAGCAATTAAGAGTGTAAGAATCGCAAATAAGAAGAAGTTCTCTATATACACTTTTATTTCATTTGATGCTTATTTACTACTTTGTGTGTAAATAGTATTATTAATAGTAATAATAATTCACATTTCTGTAAAATTATATAAATAGCAGTCATTTAAGATAATAAATAATAGTAATAATAATAATAATGGCGAACGGTTAATTAATTATTTAATTAATAACAATAATAGTAGGCGAAACAGAATGTATATAAATGCAAGTAGAGTACACAGTTTTTTGTTGTTGTTGCTGTGGTTGTAATGAGGCTACACCTACATTAAATGTGATAAGGACAATAGCGCAAAATGAGTAATAATAATCATTACGGATTATAGATGGAGTTTAGCGAATCCCTTTAAAAAACAGAAAAAAACAGGAGGCTTTAGAAATAATCATTAATGTTATACAGAAAAGATGAGTATCTTTCATTTCAATAGATAAGATAGATATATGCAGATGCTGGCTGACTGACTGACTATCCGACTGACTGTCAATCAGTTTCTTTCTCTTATTTTTTAAGCAAAAATAACTAACTACTTATTAAACAAAATAAGTAGTATTTGGGCGTATAAAACAAAATTGTTATTCATTCATCAATCCACACACACACACACACGTACAGACTGAGTAGAATCGAAGCAGAACGAGAACAGTATGGAAGCATGAATTGAATCAATTTAAACACTTAAGTATGTATATGCGCATTAAATTACACATACAAAAAAAACAAGTATCCTTCATAAACAAGTAAAAAATACACACACAAAAACAAAATGAACGAATCAAAAGAGAGGATAGTGAAGATCACTCACTCACACACTCATTACGCATATTTCAGGTAATATGGATAGAATGCTGGCAATTATTTTTAAAAAAACAAAACAAAGAAAAGGAAGGAGATTAGTTAAGTACATTGCACTAAGAAAAAAATAGTTTTCTGTAAGCAGCTGTATATGAAATAATAAGTTAGAGCAGCTTCAACTATTTTTCTTGTCGTGTGATGATACTTAAAAAACAGGCGGGGGAATTGTAAACTTTTGTGTCGAGAGAATTCAGCGGTTTTATTCAGCAGCCGGGCATAGCACAAACAAGTTAGTTACTATATTTCTCTCCAATCAGGGTGTTCATGATTTCTTTAACCTGAGTGGCGGTCGTGGTGGTGGTCAGATGAAATCATTTAGCAGCATAGAACAACAACACAATTAACGGCCATAAGCGATATGATATATGCATGTATATATGTATGTATATATATATTTATAAATGCTCAAGTGTATGTATATATATGTCTATAGGTCCTTCGACAATTTCAGGCATTCTTCTTTATTTCTTTAGTTTTAGCTGCCCATTTTTGTGATTGACGAACAATTTGTTGACTTAATTCTTTCACACTGATTGGAACTCGAACAACCTATAAAGGGAGAGGAAAAAAAAGAACTGTAAGATTCAAGCCATACTAAAAAAACAAAGTGAACATTTCTCTATAATATATAAGTAAACAGATTAATATGACTGCAATTAACGATCATGTGCGTCGGTGGCATAGCGGTTAGGATGCTCGCCGACCATGCACATGGTCCGGGGTTCGATCCCCGGCCGATGAAGCACTCCTTTACTTCGCTAAGCCAAAAATAAAGCTGGTAAAGGGGAAAGGTTGGGCATGAGGCTAGCAACCTCATCCTATAAAAATAAACACTGCTAAAGAAACTTCAAGCCTCTACCTTGAAGCCCTATGTTCCACTGGGAACGTGAAGGAATAAAAAAATTAACGATCATAAGGTATTTTTGATTGGACACTAGTCAGTAACTAGTCCTTTGCTTTGTGCAGATTGAATATTCTATCAGTCAGGTTTGCAATGTGGCCAGCATTCTAGGTGACTCACCATCACGGTGCACTACACTGTGAATTGTTGATATTAGATGGTTGGAGGCAATCAGAAGGAAGCCTTCGACCCAGGTTTCGTGCTGTCTGTCTGTTTTCGACATAGAACTTTGCACATATGTGCGGCTGTTCAAGTCGCCACACTCCCTCCATGTAGCACACAAAGCAAGAGAAGAAAGTAGGAGAAATGCATAATATAGACAGTAAACAGAGGTGTGAGGAATAGTAGTAACGAAGAACAAAACTGTTTCATTGGGTATTATAAGTCACAAGGAGTGGATGCATCTGCGCCACTGAGAACGATTTTGAGCCATATCACCAATTGTTTCCAACTATTGGTTTTTACCGTCCCGAGGACCCCAACCAGGAAGTCTACACCTTCCTACGTGGCCTAGACTAACTGTTGTAGATTTCATTGACTGGTGACATGTTTTCGTTTGACCGCCGCTAGCTCTTTTTCAGCCTGACCCTATATCAGCTAACATTGCCTGTTGTAGAGGAAGGCGATGACTAGACATACGTAACACATGTCCTAACCATCTCAGTCGATGTAATTTCACAGCCTCGTCGACTGATTTACCCTCCTTACTTAGCACTCGACGCCTAATCTCAATATTGCTCACCCTATTATACCACTTCACACGAGAGATAGAACGCAGACATCTGTGATCAAAGATAGCTAATCTTTTCATGTCTTCCACTCTTAATGGCCAGGTCTCACAGCCGTAAAGATTTCGTGCTAGTTGGCACTCACCAGTCAGTTAGCAAGGCGTATCTGCAACCTTGAAGGAACTCATGTCCCTTCTGGGATTCGAACCCGCGTCACCCAATGCTGAAGTCATAGGATATACTCACCATGCAACTTATGAAGCGAAATAATAGAGATTTGAAGCTCAGGCGGATGATTTAGAATTAGTTGTGTTCTCTGAGGTGGTTGGTTTAACTACGAAGCTTTCGTCGTCCTTTTGGACAATATCGCTTCAGCGCAAGTTTTAGCATAAAATGAACTGATTTGAATTCTCGATGAATGATAGAATTGTAACCAAATTTACCAACTAGTAAAAAGTAAATCAGCGGACAAGAAAGTTCAAATTCCAAGTCAATGAAAAAATGATCAATACAGATGTAAATCGACTGCCAGTCACAAAGATGGTTGCTGCCAGGAGACACAATTATATCATTTATGGAGAACTCAAATCAATTCATCTTATACTAAGACTTGTGCTGAAGATATTGTCCAGAAGGACGACGAAAGCTTCGCAATTAAACCAACCAGCTTAGAGAACACAACTTATGAAGCGAATTGATCGATTGAGATGGCTAGAACTCTTGCTGCTCAGATTGAGCCACAAGCAATGCTAGCTCACATAGGCTTAGGCTGGAAAAGAGTTAGAGATGGTCAAGCCAAAACCCGGCATTAGTCCATGAATTCTTTGACTGTTGTTTTCAACTAATCACGTAGGGAGATGTAGACTATCTGATTTAGGGTACTCGTAATGCTAAGAAGCAACGGCTTGAGACTACTGGTGATACGGCTCAAAATCGCTCTCAATGGTGCAGATTTATTCACTTTTCGTAGTCTCCCATATCCATTGAACCCTCATGTTTTTACATGTTACTACTCTATCATTCTCCCACACATTTCTGCTTATTATAATCGGTGGGTGCGTACTGATGAAGAGTCCCAAACTGGGACGAAACAGATGTCCAGTACTCCCAGGTTTTCCAGTGGTTCTCTAACTGATGTCAGCTCATGATGAAATCCTCCATGCAATCAAACAAAATCCCTACAAAACCAATACTTGAAAATATAATACTTTTTCCCCTTATTTTTATGCGCTAAATGGAGTGTAGCATTTTGGAAAGGTGCATGTCTGTGCTCAGTTTTATGTTGAAACTGAGTTATTCAGTAGTCATTAATCATGAAACTTGTTATATGCATATATCAGTCTAGCTTCAATGTGGGGCGGGGGATGTCGCTCATTGGATAAAGGCACTCGACTTGTAGCTAATGTGTCTCGAGTTCAACTTCCGACTGATCCACTTCAGCCCCTAAGTACTTGCATAATATCATCAACTCTCCATACAAAATAAGTGTGGCTCACAGACGGGTATCTGAAACAGAAGGGGAATCAGTGTCACGTGACTGCAGACCTTAGAGGACAACTGTCTGAGGCCGGTCACACACGCACACAGTCTGTTTCATTTAGTTTTTGGAGTTTTATCCGTATTAAGACATTGTCAGCGGCTACGAACAGCCACAAGATAAGTCAGGATGTACAATTTTCGGGCTCGACCTTTTCCAAAGAGCGGAAAGGCAGACCGTCAACAAAACGATGGTAACTACTTTGAATCTCTAACCGCTGTCCAAATGATCTTCCTGGTATGGTAGGACCTACAGGAACATTCTCTGCAGCCAGTGTAGCTCGCTACGGCTAGTTACGATATGCAAGCTCGACCACTACAACATCAAGGTAGCAGTCTATCGGTCCAGTCTACATAACTGAGTTGTAGCTAACTAGCTTCAGTATTTCTTTGGGACTATTGGTGAACAAGGTAAAGGTAAAGTCAGTCCTTCTATATGTACGGATCAGAAACTTGGCGGCGGGTCACAAAGAATATTTCAAACAGCCTGTTGCAGACCTTTATCAACAACTCTCTTCGCTCTATACTCAAGATCAGATGGCCGGAAGGAATCAACAACAAGAAACTATGGGAACAAACAAGAACCAATCGCCCAACAAATATGCAGGAGAAAGTGGAGATGGATTGGACACTCGCTGAGGAGGCCACTGGGTGACATTGCGCGTCAGGCCATCACTCGAGTGGAACCCGAAAGAGAAGCGGTGAGTGTGACGTTCAAGGGTGACATGGAGGAGATGGTGTGAAGAGGAGATGAAACAGTATGGACTGACATGGATGCAGGTGAAAAGTATAGTAGAAGACAGAAGCAAGTGGAGACGTGCAATTGAAGCCCTATGTTCCACTAGGAACCCAAGAGAACAATAATAATAATTGGTGAACAAAGACAATAGCCAAATATATGCATAACCACAGTGAATTTGAATAGGCTTGTTAAAGTATAGCTTTCTTAATGTTTAATCTAACCATCTTTTCTTAAAAATAATCAACTGTATAGACAGTTTACCTACTATAACTCCATATCCAATAAATCTGATCAGTATTCAAATGTCTTACAAATAAGGAAGTGAATAGGCAAATCTTCTAGCCAGCTCTTTTAAATGTTGTTCATGTATGTACTGATTTTACAACACAGGGTTACAAAGTTGATCATAACTTATCACGTTGTTATTTAAGAAAATGTCAATCATATTATTATTATATTATTACTATTATTTTATTTAAGATTGATTTTACAAATACACGCGCCTACTAATAAATATTTGTAACTGCCTGACTGACTGACAGGTAAAGAGTGTAAAGAAGGGGGAACATTTGCGTTTAGATGATAACGATTGTTTTTCATAGCACACGTTTTTTTGTTTAATCACTCTTATACTACTAATGCTACTACTACTATTAATACTTATCTAAAACAAAATATTTGAGCAAAGAATATCCTTTTCGATCATTTCCTCTTCTGGCTCTACAATTATATATACGTTTATATACATAGAATATTCTAGAATAGTAGTCAATAACAATATCAGTGTTTTTTTTAAATAATATCGATTTGTTAAATAAGATGAATGGAATTCCAGTTCACTAGAGATGCATAAATTATAATAAGCATAAAAATGTAATAGCGAATAGAATATCAAATAAAATTAGGTAAATTCCCACAACAAAGTGAGAGTCATTAAAACCTTGATTGATGGCCAAGGTGTAAGGACAGTGTCTGAACCAACCAGCTTCTTTTGGACACATAAGTTAGGTTTCTTAATGTGGATCCCAACAGACGGCCTCAGCAATATTTAGTAGACGAACTCTTAAGGTGAAGTTAAGCTTAGTCGGTATGCGGTAAATGACTTTGAAGGCCGGGTTAACATCAATCTTGTGTTCTGTATCCACAAGATGAGATAGAATAGCACTTACTTAAACAGGTGAACATAGAGAAAATAGAGGTGATGAAAATTCCTGGCCAACACCAACAGCAACAACAGACAACAATTAGCATAGATGGGAGAAATCTGAGAGAATCAATCAATCAATATCAATATGATTATGAGCAATAGTTTATGCTCGAAATGTCATCAGTTAATATTACTGTACAACACTGTGTGATTTATCAAAATAAAATCTTATCTATAATGGAGTTATGCTCTACCACAGTGCCCAAGTTTTATACTTACATCAATAAGATCCGGATTTTCAACTCCAATGTGAAGTCAGTGCTACTATACGGATCAGAGACTTGATGCGTCATAAAGAGCATCTCAAACAAACTACAGACCTTCATTAACAATTGTCTTCGCTCAATACTCAAGATCAGATGGCCAGAAAAGATCAGCAACAGAGATGGATCTCTAGTAGCGAACCAATTCAGCAGAAACTGATTGTGCGACAAA